TAAGGCAGTCCATTTAATACTTGGTCCTGTGAAACTCTGGAAACCGTCTTTCAGGCCGGTTCTAAGCCGTCCGCAAGCAAAGAATCGCTTCAGTTTTCTCCGGGTGACCCTCTACGCAGATGAACTGCTTCGAAATCATATCGCTCTTAAATTACAACTTGGCATGTTATTCACACTGATCATCAGTGGGACTAAAGCAATATTTTAGTCCACGTCTTTTACTTCTATCTCAAACTAACGCATACGTCAGAGCTCGGACACACACCTCGCTTCTCTACACGTTCAGCGTTGAGGCGAATGATTAGCACCCTTTTTAAGTAACTTCAGTTCATATCTAACTGCTTCTGCAATGCAACCACGAGTTGGTTAATACTTTGTCAAAGGAATTTTAATCTAATCACTGTAATGGGATAACCAAGCAATCATCACTTAACCTTTTTAACTCCTCTCCAAATTCTTTTGCTTTTTTCCATTAATGGCAATAGAAATAGTTTTCCAATGTTGGCACAACCAAATCTGTACACAAAGAGATAACGATATGGCTTATCCCTTCGATAAATGCTAACATCTATCTTCATTTTCTGACATACACAATACGGCTCATTGAAACTTGTTTTGTCGTCTAAAATGTTGGCGGAGGAGATATTGAGATGTTAACAGATACAAAGGAGATTCTGTTTCGAAGATTGGTCCGATGCATTCCCTTTATATTTTTGGTGAGTCCTGGAATATGTGCATGCGTGGCGCGGTGACGGTCACAGTAAAATACAGTAAGGATACACCTGGCGCGTATGTTGCAGCGCGGAGGCCTGTATACATTAACAAACGTACGAACTGAGTGCAAATTCTGTGGTAAAACCAGTTAAATTTCGCAATTCTCACGTGGCAGCTTTTTTGGTTGATTCTGGCTTCAAATTATCTTCTCCCGGACTCTTTTTTGGTGAAAACTTGAAAATAGAGAATTCATCTCATATAAGTGGTCAAGAGTGTTTTTCCATTTTATTTATAAATAACATGACAGCTGAAGCAGCATAAGCGTAGACTGTGCCATCCACTGGACAGTCAGCGTGGTAATAGCATACCAGTCTACAAACCGATTACCGTTCGCATTTGCGGCTCCCAGGCACGAGAGGAAAGCCAAAGCAACCGAGACTGTAATGGACTCGCTTTAACAACGCCCACATAAGCCGGTCATTTCAACCTTATGCATAATGCAATCTTGAATGGTCTAAGAGATATTCCAAGACTGAACAACTGCAGATGGTAAATCTTGGCTTGGATCCAACCCTGAACCGCTTAATGGTTAGGTTCCTCTCATCATCAACAGACAACATAATCAAGCTTACAGTGAGATAACAATAGAGGGTAAAGGGGCTGAATCGTGGTGTGTAGGTGGCTATTGTCCTGGGCACCGGCTTGTGCATAAACGGTCGTCACCCCATCCCTTTGCTACACTTTCTGTTGACTCTAGTTTTTCTTTATACTATCAAACGAAAAGGGAAAGGACCACAAAAGGTAAATGCAACACTGAGATATGTGAATGAATTTTTGGTATATTCACTGCCAACTAGATTTCTTTTGTCCGTTCGATTTTTACCTTATAACGGCTTGAAAATTATAGAGCATGCTATTCAAGATTAATTTCGAAGATAACAGAACAAATCTATTATGGCTCTTGGGTGGTTTTTTTGTTGGTTACTTATGTGGTATGGATGTAGGGCTAGTATTGCAGAGAGATCAGAGTTCAACTCAGTTGCATATAAAAAGGCTAAATTCATTCGTCAAAACAGGGGACTCGCGAATGTCCACAACATGAGATTGAGAATGTTGTTCTCAGGCTCAACACTATATCATCTCGTTCTTCTTTTGATTGGATACTGCGATGATAAGATGAGATTGATGCCTTGTATTACGAGTACATAGGCCGCATGGGAGCCTTCAATGATCATCTATACAGAATAAATAAGATCCTCCTCATCCATGGAAGCAAAGACTACAATATGTATTAATAGGACTGATGGCAAAAGGGGTTTACATTATGGTTCATACGAGTGTAAAACAGGGCACCATCAATACACACCGTGATGTGAAGTCATCAACAATACTAAAATTGGGCAGGAATTGGGGTGGCCCAAAGGTATAATCAAGAATTTTGCTTGTCAAAAACAGGTCACCCACGGACATAGATGAAGACGTAACCCAGCATTAGTCAGCGACTGTATGTATTAGAAGGTGTGAATAAGGCTTACCTGGATCCCGAGTACTAAATCGCAGGCACCCTCACTGAGAAATCTGATGATCTACTCATTTGGGGTAGTGGTTGGTTAAAGAAGTACTGTGACGCACCCGGCCACCAATCATGTAAATACCTAAAGACAAAGAACAAGTGAACCTTGGTGAGTAGGGACAAGAAAATGTTGTCGAAGAAGGAACTCTTTTTGATCAGAATTATTGACCCCACAGTTGGGCATGGTGATATCACAATCATGTCTCTTTAAAACAAAATTTGATGGAGATCGCTGAAGAAGTTGTGTGCGTGAAAAAGCAAACTGAAAGGGCCAAAATTGTGTGATGTTGATATGGAGCCTTGAATTTGGCATGCAGCTATCAAGAATTTGCCCTGAAGAAAATTCTAGCGCGAAAGTTGTGTGCGTGAAAAAGCAACTGAAAGGCCAAAAATGTGTGATGTGATATGGAGCCTTGAATTTGCATTGCAGCTTCAAGAATTTGCTGAGAAAAATTCTCACGCAAGTGATATTGTCAGTGAGAACCAGAAAGAATCATCTATGCCGTGTAAGGAGGTCGCTACCATTGATGATGATGATATATTTACATTCTCAGATGGATCGATTAGAGATTCAAGGAGCACAATTAGTACCAAGTAATGACTCTGATGAAGTGAAATCAGGTTTTTCAGAAATAATTAATGCGCAGGGAGAATGAGTTCGAAATGAACCCTAAAGGGAGACGTAGGCGGGAAAAATTTACTTAGACCGAGTCTATGGCCTCGCTACGCGGAGTAAACTAATAAAAACAAAATTTATAATTGAAATGAGAGTATTTTTTACCATGAATTAGAAAAAAAAAATGATAAAGTCGGAACACTTTTAAAAAAATTCTTATTGTCATTGATTTAGTCTGTAAATGTGACTATAGACCCGGTCTAGATAAATAATTTCTACTTATAATATGTGAGTCACTTGAATGTACTGATGTTATAAAATACATTACCTTCAATATAGTCTGGTTCCAAGTAGACTTGTTCTTCGTTATATAGTTGGGGACTTTCAACTTTATCCATTTGGTTAAAGCAATTTTCCACACTGGTACCAGTTCTTAGCTTTAGTCCTTGGTAATTATTATTTTAACCAATTTGATGATGTGCAATAGTTCTAATTATATATATATAGTTCGTAGTTAGCATAATTTGGATTCAAATTCATCCACCATAAACGTGATTTTGGTTTCAATTCATATGTATGCTTTATGCTAGAGATTACCTATATATTTTAAAGAAATTACTTGTTTTATTTTTTTTTCAGATATATGGTCAGAAATATCTCGTTTCAATAAAAATTTTCATTTTCATTATTTTGAGGCTATGATAAAAAATTTTATTTTCGCTATTTTGGTCCATACGATGTGATCCGGTTTAGGTAAAATTTTCCAGCATCTTAATATTGGCAAATGCTTATGAGAAATCATTACAAAGTCCTGAAGTTCTGTTCAAACTCACTTTTGGATCTGTTCATCCAAAAAATCAATTCTTAATCATTAGTCAGACTCATTTTCTGAAACGTAATTATATGCTCACTTTAGATAGACACTTGTTTATAATAATAACTAAACAAAAGTGACAAGTTAAATTTATAATATAAATAAAGTTTTAAACATAAAAGACATCAGTTTTTTTTTTTTTTAATTTAAAACGTAAATATATTTTTTTTCACTTTGAATTATTTAGTTAATGAAAATATAGGGGAAGATATAATTGTGGTCCATATTTTCTTCAGTGGGCCCTGCATACACTACCAAATATTTAACTTTTTTATTACAATTAAAAATAAGAATTTCTTTTTTTTTTTTTTAACAAAAATGGGGAATTGAAGAATCTAATTGGACCGAATAAAAATTATAGTCCTCAGTTGACCAAACCAGGTAAGTTCAGTGGTCTAAAGGGGATTTCCCCTATCCCATCTATCTATAAAGACGACCACAATTTTTAGGCTTCAGCCAAATAAGAGTCACACTGATATAATTCCATATAGGGAGAAATTGAGGCAAAAAAGCAAAAAAGAGATCAGCTGAAATGAAAGGAGGGTCTGTCGAATTGTCTTTACCTGTTCTGCTAATGATACTGATCATCTGCACCAATGCTTCAACAACCAAAGCTGCAATTTTGACCCGTAGAACAATCACTGGATCTTGGAATGATGATATGCCCGAATTCATTGCAGACGAAGAGCACTTGATGGAATCCAATGTAAGCCAGATTCTTCTTCAACAGAATAATTATATTACTTATCCAGCATTAAATAAACAAGCATTTTGCATTGTCTTTACCTGTTCTGCTAATGATACTGATCATCTGCACCAATGCTTCAACAAGCAAAGCTGCAATTTTAACCCGTAGAACAATCACTGGATCTTGGAATGATGATATGCCCGAATTCATTGCAGACGAAGAGCACTTGATGGAATCCAATGTGAGCCAGATTCTTCTTCAACAGAATAATTATATTACTTATCCAGCATTAAATAAACAAGCATTTTGCACAGAAGGAATATATGGTAATTGTCTTGGGAAGGAAATGAAAATTGGCAGGCCTTGTAATGCCTACGATCGTTGCAGAGGAGGTTCCCCAAGTTGACCAGAAGAAGACGACGTATATACAAATACGGCAGGTTTGAAGCATTCATATATAGTGTGTGTGTGGATCTGTATTATTTAGCTATTATATATAATTAAAGAAGCTCGATGGTATTGTAATCTTAGCTCGATGATAATGCTACTCTAATCACGCTGAGGTTATTATCATCACAGAGCATAACTTTGTTATCCTTGATTATTAATTTACGGTATTATGAAGAACTGTATTTGCTGTAGAATTCTTTGCTGTTGTATAGATTATATTCTATTATTTCTAGTCGCCGTTTGAGAGGCTATCAAAATTATCCAAGCTTATACATAATCATTTGAGTATACTGAAGTCGTGATTTATAAAAAATCTATCATTTCTCATGAAGTGTCAATTGTTCACTGTAGAATTTTATATGATAAGTGTTAAATTTGAAGTAAGGATGTTGGGTTATTAATAATTTCTACAATACTATTAAATATGACCTCTACAAGGACAAGATCTACTTAAGTTCAGCAAACGATTAAAATTAAGGGTTTGATATGTAAAAAATATTCATAGAATATTTAAACCATCCGATGTTCGAAATTCGTGACTTGACTAATTCAGATTTATACCAAACATATCTATAAAGAGCACAAAGCACTCCTCTCAAATGTTTAATTGAAGGATAAGAAATGTGCGATGAATTAAAATTCTTAGGGCAAAGAATTTTATACCACCACAAACTTCAAAATAATGTCAGTATTGCCCCCAAATAAAGTGTGGATACTCATTAAAAAAATCCAAAGATTATTTGTATGACATTCGTGTTTGGGTTAATTGCCCTTTTAATTAACTGAATTTTTTTTCGCGGAAGAAAGTAAATAATAGAGTTATCATCAAGTTTTAGATAATAATTGAATGGTTAGATACATTTCTCTCCGATAGTAATTTTTGTCACATCCAAAATGACAAATGACAACAAAATTGACTTATCATTACTTTCCAAAAAATAAAACGACAATATTGTCTTTGATTTTAAGGACAAAATCACATCATGCTTCAATTTGTCGTATCATGTAGCTGATTCAATGCAAATTCTTTTCTCACACTATTAGTATAATTATTTATGGGCCGGGCCTAAGCGAGCCAAGTTTGACCTTGCCACACCAAAAACATTTGAGCCCGGTTGGATCAAGCCCGACTTTGTAGAAACCCTCGTTCCAAGTCTGGTCAGCTTTAATCTGGCCGTTAAATTTTTCACCCCTACTTATTTTTTCTGGTTCCGCTGCTGCGTCCAAACTCACACCTTCATCTTTCAGCCTCCATTGGAGACTGCAAATCATAGTCATGATTTTTTTTTTTTTTTTACTTTTCGTGAAGGCATTTAATATTTTGATTCACAATTGCAAATAGTTCAATCTTAAATGTCAGCTCTCCCACAACTCACAAGCTAGAAAATATCTAAATATATTAATAGGTTAGAAAGATAATAACCAATCCCAATTTCTTCTCCCCCTATGGCCTAATGTAAAACAAAAGACTCTTTCCAAAAAAAAAAAAAAAAAAAGAATCTGACTATTTTGAACTTAGAACCTACAACAAACTGACAGAAAATTTCCATTATGCACACTGCAGTTTTCTACCTTCTCCTTCTCAGTCCCCTTCTTTCAACCATTGCAATCCAAAACCTGTCTCCTTACACCCCTGCGGATCTAATTCTCCTAAATTGTAGTGCACCAAATGAAGGACAATCAATGGATGGACGGAACTGGGAGGGTGATGCCGGTCACTGGTCCAAATATTTTCCTTTCAAGTCTGAAATCTCATCACCCTCCAAAGCCTCCCAACAAGAACTATCATTTCAGTGCACTGAAGTCGTGATTTATAAAAAATCTATCATTTCTCATGAAGGGTCAATTGTTAAGTGTAGAATTTCGTATGCTAAGTGTTAAATTTGTGTTGGGAAAAGATATTAAAAAAGACATCAGGAAGAAAAAATGGGATTAAAGCTGCAGATGCTTTATTGCTTTTTGACTAACTATATTTTAAAAATAGCTATGATGTGCCTATATATGTAGGCTTACACGGTTTAAAAATAAAAAATCTTGGAAATTCACTAAGCCTGTCGGAGATTTATTAGCAACAAATCCTACTAAGATATTGACCAAAAAACAAATTCACAAGTTTTCAAAAATTACTAACAAACTCCTCAAAACCCGGTCAACCTTTGAATCACATCTCAACACTTTCCCTTGATTCAAAGTTGCAGATTGCAAGCAATCCTCTGAAGTAGCAGAACTTTTCTTTTGATAGAGCCTTGGTAAGTATGTTCGCTAGTTGTTCATTGGTGTTACAATACTTCAAGACAATTTCTTCTTTTACAACAAGGTCACGAATATAATGATGCTAAAATTCAACATGCTTTGTTCTGCTGTGAAATGTTGGGTTCTTTGTCATGGAGATAGTTGCTTTGTTATCACAAAATATTTTTGTCGCTCCTTTATGCTCTTGTTGAAGATCAGCTAACACTCTTCTTAGCCAAATGGCTTGACACGCTGCTAAAGCTGCTACAACATATTCTACTTCTGAGGTTGATAGCGCCGCTATTGCTTGCTTCTTTGAGCTCTAAGTAATCACTCCTGATCCTAGAGTGCAAACACTTGCTGAAATGCTCCGTTTATCATCTAACGATCCTGCCCAATCGCTATATGTGAACCCATATAATTTGAAATTAGAAGATTTAGAATACCAAATTTCATACTCCATAGTTCGAGCAACATAACGCAAGACTCGTTTTGTTGCTCCATAATAAACCTTTGAAGGCTGTTGCATAAAACTAGAAATAACACCAACAGAAAATGCAATGTCGGGTCATGTGTGCATCAAGTAAATCAATCCCCCAACCAAGCTTCTAAACCTTTTAGCTTCTGCCATTTCTGCTCCATCTTCATGCTGCAATTTCTCATTAATATTCATGGGTGTGGCTGTAGGCTTACAATTAAGCATGCCAAATTTACTTATAATATCTCTCGCATATTTCCTTTGTGAAATAAAGATCCCATCTTCAACTTGATATACTTCAAGACCAAGAAAATAGTGCAATAAACCCATATCTGACATCTTAAATTCACTCATCATTTAAGACTTAAATTTATCCACAAGAGAATTAGAAAAGCTAGTATAAATGATATCATCAACATAAAGGCAGATAATGATGAAATCACTTTTACATTCCTTCTTCACATACAAAGTGGGCTCATTCTCACTTCTCATGTATCCTTTTTCCTTAAAATATCCATCAATCTTGCTATACCAAGCTCGAGGGGCCTGCTTCAACTCGTACAGTGCCTTTTTCAACTTGTATACCTTTGTTTCTTTGCCTTTCTTTATGAATCGCTCTGGCTGTGCTACGTAGACTTCTTCTTATAAATCTCCATTGAGGAAAGCTGACTTGATGTCAAATTGATAAACAGGCCACCGTAATTCTGCTGCTAATGTTAGAACAGTTCTTGTAGTTTCAAAGCGAGCTACTGGAGAGAAAGTTTCTACGAAATCCACACTTTGTTGTTGCGCATACCCTTTTGCCACAAGCTTTTTCAAACTCGTAAGAAACAGGGCCTTTTTCAACTTGTATACCTTTGTTTCCTTTTTGGCCTTTCTTTAATGAAATCAGCTGCTCCTGGCTGTGCTACGTAGACCTTCTTCTATAAAATCTCCATTGAAGGAAAAGCTGATCTTGATGTCAAATTGAATAAACAGGCCACCGTAATTTTCGCTGCTAATGTTAGAACAGTTCTTGTAGTTTCAAAGCGAGCTACTGGAGAGACAAAGTTTCTCCTAGAAATCCCAACACTTTGTTTGTTTTTGCGCATTCACCCTTTTGCCAATTCTGCTGCTAATGTTAGAACAGTTCTTGTAGTTTCAAAGCGAGCTACTGGAGAGAAAGTTTCTACGAAATCCACACTTTGTTGTTGCGCATACCCTTTTGCCACAAGACGAGCTTTGTGCTTCTGTATGCTTCGATCTGCTACAAATTTTGTCTTGAACACCCACTTTAAGTTAAATGCATTTTTGCCATTCGGTAAGCCAACCATTTCCCATGTTCCATTCTTCTCAATTGCTTGCATCTCTTCCACCATGGCTTTGTACCACTCTTCTTTTTCGGCTACTTCTTTATAACATATAGGGTCTGAAATAGTAAGAGCAAATTGACAAGATGCATAGATGTACTTCCTTGGCGGTGTCTCATCTGAAGATTCTTCAAGAGAAGAGTTGTTGTTTGGTGATGCTAAAGTTGATGAGTTTGACAAATTTTGTGTTGTTGTAGAGGCATTAGTAGGTGCAAGGAGTTGACTCTTATTTTTTCATCCGAAGAAACTTTAATTGGAATCTTTTGCTCATTACCCCAATCCCAACTTACATTTTCATCAAATATTACATCCCTTTTAACTAAAATCTTTTCATTAAGAGGGTTATACAATTTATATGCTTTTGATTGAGTACAATAACCAATGAAAATGCATTTTTCATATTTTTCATCAAGCTTTTGAAGAATTTGAGAATTTATCAAAGCATAAGCAACACACCCAAAGACTCGTAAATTACTTATAGATGGTTTCCTTCCATGCCATGCTTCATAAGGAGTTCGATTCATGCAGCCTTTGTTTGTGAGAGATTTAATAAATAGACAGATGTTGCTACAGCTTCTGTCTAAAATTGGTTTGAAAGTCTTCTTGCTTGTAACATGCTTCTTGCCATCTCCACAACAGTTCAATTTTTTCGTTCAGCGATGCCATTTTATTCTAGAGTGTAAGGAGCTGTTAATTCCCTTTGGATCCCACTTTCTTCACAAAACAGATTGAATTCTTTAGATACGAACTCTCCACCCCTAATTGTGCGAAGAATTTCGATGTGGCAGCCATTTTGGTTCTCTACCATAGCTTTAAAACTCTGAAATTTCTCAAAAGTCTTTGACTTGTGTTTTCATTTATTTCATAATGAAAATCAGAAGAACCATTTATTTGAAAAACTTCCTTCTAACATTATGAAAATAAATGAATACCCATTTTATCTGTCGACATCCAAATTTTACTGTTTTAATTTTTGAAATTCTTCTATTTTATTAACCCTTTGATATTGATTTAGTGATTAGTGAGATATGCAATCAATTGGCAAAATCTGAGAATTATTTGATTGAATGCACTTAGATGAACATTTTTCAGTGCTGGTCATCATTAGAGATTGATTTTTTATTGGTTTAGTATAAATTGCTCTTCAGTTTCCTTCACATTTCATATTGAAAC